GTAACTTCTCAAAAAGCGAATTAAGCTTAAGGGAAATTTTGACAATAAAGAAGTCCTCAAAGAGTTGTTACATGATTTGTTCAAGCAATTGGTAAAATATTCATGATTGGGAACTTGAATGGCGACAATCATTAGCTTGCTCAATTTTGATTCATTATGTAGGTTACTTAGGTTCTTTATACTTTGGCCAATTTTAGTTTACTTGGCAAATTTTTCTTGTAATTACTTTAGTGTATAGGCATTTTTTGACAAATTTCAAGTATTTTTAAATAGATTATAGAAGTTACTATAGGTTTGAATAATTTTGGTTTTAATTACATATGAATTTTGGTTGGAATTAGAACTCTTTTGCTGGATTGCAATTCTGAAAATTTCTGTATATTCTGTTTTGCAAAGGGTTGCTCGAAATGCAACCCCTTTATTTAAAAAAAACACTAAAACCACTACATAGTTCAATATGTATAACTGTTACAACAAAAAACCATTATATAGACAAAACTATATAGCAGTTATTATAAAATAATCGTTATATAGTTCACTAGAGCACTTGCGAAAAATGATCAAAATTGGGCTAACTATATGGTAGTTTTTATGTGATAACCATTGAATATATGGTAACTATTTAATGTTTATGAAGATAACCGTTAAATAGTAGATTGAAATGTTCTTTGGGCTCGAAACTAGAACAAATTATATAAAGCCAAACTATAGAGTAATTAAATAACTGCTATATAATTTTTTAGCACCGCAATATATAGCAGTTTTTTTTTGTTATATATTAGTGAAAATAACTGCTATATATATAGCTCCTTTTTTTGACATGTAAGCGCGCTGAAATGAGCACTGCCATGGAATTTTTTAGTTTGAATTAGTGTAAGCTCTCGTTGGCTTCAAAATTTTGATTAACACAAAACATGGTTTCAGTTTTTATTTAAAATATTTGTTATATAGATGGCTCTTATAAATTTTAAATGTTTTATAAATTTCAGGCTACTTATTTAAAATTTCTTTGTACTAAAGGAAGCTTTCACGAATTAAAATTGCATATTTTATATTCTTTAAATCGAAACATTCGCTCTTCACAATTGTAAAAAAGTTGTTAGATATTAATAAGTTGTTCTCAGCGACGGTTGAAATTTTTTATAATGAATTTAAGGACACGAAGAACAAAATTTACCTTTTACACATGTTGATCAGTAAAACATTTTTGTTCATCGTGAAATCTGATTTTTGGTTATTTTTTATTTGCTAGCCTTTGGCATATCCATATTATAATGATTCGAAAAACAAATACATTAGTGCATACTCTGAGAGTGACATATAATATTTATATTGCGATTGATAAAAACAATCTAAAACAACATAATAAAAGCAAACCCAAATTATATTATTAAATGATTTTGTATCTCTTCAAAGAATTTATATTCTCCCGTTCATTTATATACTTTTCTTTACACTATCTTTTTACCATATTAAAACTATTATCAGTGAAATGGAACATGAGACGTGTGTAATAATCTCTTTTGTTTTTGAACACAGTTCAGATTCTATGTAACTTTTATTTTAATTTTTTTTTGGTTGCATATGACTCTTTGCTAGTGAAGAAAGATACCATGCAAGATTATAATAAATCTCAACTACCTATTTAGTAAGTTGTACACACACACACACATATATATATATGTATTTTAGTTTCCTTCAATGAAATGTTAAGTACATATGAAGTTCAACTACATCGTAAAGAGCCTCATAAAAAGAAATAAATTAATACTAGCTTCCAAATAAAAAATAACCAATTTATTTTGGAAGGTTTATAATCGTATGGTGTGTATGTATATATATATATATATCACGTTAAGCATGTATATACAGGACATATCATATGTTTATTAATAAACATTTCTTTAGCTTGAAATCCTATATATCAATAAACAAAAAGAGAATAAATGATTTTAGTTTTATAAAATATATGAATTATTGGTTGGACGTATTCGGTATGTTATCTCAATAAAAGCTAATGGGTGAAGAGAGTTTAATTATCAGAGAAAATAATAATATCAAATAAGTTAAAACTTATGAAAGATTGAAAAATATAACAAATTTTAGGGCAATGATATGCTTAACAATATTGACTAAATTAAAGTAAAACAATTTAAAAAAAGGTTCGGGTTGATTCTTACTTAGTGCTGGGCATCCTATGCTGATAAATGAGGCTTTCTCCTAAATTATTTTTTTGAGGAGTAAAAAATCTTTTTTGTTAATCATCTGTTAACTTTGTTATTTTCTGTCGATGTAGTGTGTGCATACATGGGATCCACGTGTAGTGATAGGTAGAATTTTTTGGACATAGTCAAAATCTTATCTATCATTGCACGTGTGCTCCACGCACAACAATTCAATAGAAAATAAAAAAGTTAATAGGTAATTAATGGAAGAAGTTTTTTGCTTTTTTGAAAAATGGTTCAGGAAAAAAGTTACCCCACTTATTAGAACAAGATGCCTAATGCTTCTTGAAAAAAGTCCAGGATAAAATAGAATCTTAACCCTTTAAAAAACAACAAGCACAATTTGTTTTTTGAAATGATATTTGTGTCGAAATAATATTACATACCAATGATTTAATTGTTAAGAATTTGGCTAATATTTTACAAGGATATATTAATTCAAGTAGACTATAAGACCTATCCTAACTCGAGTAGTTTCTCTATATCGTTCGACCGGCCTAAACTTTATTTGTATAAAATTTTATTGCATAAAATATCATCATTCTAATTACAACGTGTGTGTTGGACATATATATGGAATCCCTATATCTGATTTTAGGTGCTGCGAATATATAACTCATAATCATTTTATGAAATAAATAATCACAACTAATAGAAAAGCTCTCAATAGCTACTAACAGCTGAGATTGAATGGGAATGCACCACGTTATCCATGCTCTATATAATAAAAGCATATTAGATTTGGATTCAGTCACTTTATGAATACCTCAATTATAGCCATTAGATTTCATCAATATTTAAAAATTATAAAATTCATTCCCTTATAAAAATTTAAAACAATCCCTTACAATCAAAATGCTTTTCACATATGTTATCCCCTCCAAGAATTTGAGGTTTGGTACTTTTTGAGTATTATCTAACCAAATCTTTTATAGTCGTTTGATTAAGTCGAATAATTATTATCATATCATGTGAGACACTCATTAAATAAGTGGACTTAGGATATTCACTTCATTATACTATTTCAATCAAATAAAATTTTATGTGTAATTATTTTTAATGATTTTATTTTTGTAATAAAGTGTCTTTTCTCTCTACCATCATCAATGGTAGAATTAATTTATATTTATAGCCATCTGACATGATATATTTTTATTGAATAGTATACAAATGACATGGTGTATTAAGTTTATGCAAAAATTCTATGGATTTGATATCCTTTAAATAAGATTAAGAGTATGAACATTATAAATATAAAAAACTATGTTAGGAAAGCCAGCTACTCCTATTTAGTTTGAACAATAATTTACTATAGTTTTATCAATATATATAGTCTACAATATTGTATACCAAATAATTGAGTGAGTGGACTTAGGATATTTTGCTCCAATTGTACTATTTCAATTAAATAAAATTTTATGTCTTATTATTTTTAATTATTTTATATTTGTAATAAAGTGTATTTTAATTTCTTGCCTTCTCTCTCTACCATCAATGGTAAAATCACTTTATATTTATAGCCATATAATGTGACATATTTTTATTGAATAGTACACAAATGGCGTGGTATGTCAAGTCTATGCAAGAATTCTATGGATTTGATATTGTTTAAATAAGATCAAGAGTATGAACATTATAAATATAAAAAACTATGTTAGGAAAGCTAGCTACTCCTATTTGGGTTCAACAATAATTTATTATGAAAGGGTGTATAATATAGTTTTATGACATAGTCTACAATATTGTATGCCAAATAATTGTTAAAAGGATCTCTCAATAAAATAAAATATACACAAATAAGATCACATAAGAGAATATCTTGCACAATTGATAACATTTTACTATAAACATTGAAAAAATATGACTCAAATATTTAAAAGTTTAATGTAATTTTTTGTGTGTGATGAGACTAATGATATTAGAGTTAAATGATTAAAAAGACACATTATGAAATTAATGGATCAAAATGAACTCTTGTTTAAAATTAACAGTCAAAAGATATACTTTAGCCAAAATATATATAATTTATAAATTATTTCATTTAATCCCTACTGATTTAATTTTCTGATTTTTTGTTATATTTTATTCATATAACATCACATATTATCTTAATACATATGTATAATTATGAAAGGAAGTTAAAAAAAATATATGTAATAAAATATATATCACATGTATGAATTTTTTATGAAAATATAATATTAAAGACTGGATTAAAATTTATTTGAACTATATATATTTAATCACATTTTTTTTGAAACTTTAAATATCAGTTTCAAAATGGAGTGAAAAAATAATAAAAATCAAACAATATATTCTTTAAAAGAAGTTAATTTTTGAAATTATATTAAAAGAACTTAGTCCTAAGAGTTTAAGCTACATGAAAAAATTACAGTTCAGAAATATGAAAGCCTTTATGAGCAAGGCTGGTCTTAGTAAAAGGAGCCACGTCTGATGCACGAGATCTTAGATTCAAGTCTATGTGAATGCAAATAATATTTATGGGGCCGGGAGAGGTATTTCAACATTAGACCAAATAATACTTGAATATGATCCTATCAAACAGCCATTTAAAATAATCTGAAGGTTTGTTTTCTCATAAATCCTCCAAAGGATTTCTTAAAACTTATTTTTTGGTTGTAAATTAAAAACTTAACTCTAACGTTTTATTACTCCAAGAAATCAGACGATGATGATATACTTTTTATTTATATTTTTGTCCCTCGCCTATAAATGGCAAACATAGGGGGAAAGATAGAATGGAGTACTAAGGAAATGGCCTCCCTCAAGAAGTATTGTTTCCTCTTTGCTTTTGTATTAGCTATCAGCATCTTCTTCAACAATGGAACTGCCACTGAAGAAGAAGAAGAAACAGAGGCCATTGAAAACATACCATGGCTAACTCTTTCTCTCTCTTCTCTCTTGCCATCACAGACTTGCACTCCTTTCAAAGGTTCTCTCCTTCTCTCTCTCTCTAATGAGTATTAAATTTTGTGGGATTAGCTAAGTATATGTTAAGTTTATATACTTTCATTTTATTTTATGTAGTTGATCAATTATTATGAGACTTTTCAATATATTCTAATATTCTTCTTACTACTATTCTTTTGTTTTTTATCCTTTTTTTGCCTATGTCTTTCATTAATTCATTCATTTTTTCCTTCTTCTCTTTGCCACAGTTTCTAGAGTTTTTATATTATGCATAAGCTATGTATTTTCCATCTTTCTCCTAAAAGCATTTTTTTAATATTTGTATATGTGTGCGCCCGCACTTGTGCACATATTGTTCAGATTTTTCATACATAAATTTTGTTGTAATATTATGAATTTGAATTATCTTTACGTCTTTTGTTAAATATGTGATCTTTGAAAAAGATGATAAAAAAAGGGAAAAGGAATAGTACACTTGTGTAAAGTAAATTTTATTACTTGTCTGTCTCTCTCCATAACGAACTCTAATTATATATGGAGAAGATCTGTAAATGTAGTTATAACATTAACATGTGACTTATGATTATTGCATTAATTAATTTTAATTTACGCTTATGATTATATCACTATATAAAAGTAAAATTTATTACTTTTCTGCCTCTCTCTATTACGAACTCCAATTATGGATAAGAAAAAAAAAAAATATATATATATATATAGTTATAACATATGACTTATGATTATAGCACTAATTAATTTTAATTTACGTTTATGTGAAATAACCTCAAGTTTTTTAAAATTTATTTTAAAAAATTATAGGATATTTTTTGTCATTGGATTTATATACACAATAAAACAACGGCTTTATCAGCATGTCCTTTAGCCTTGAAAACTACTCTAATGGTAATTTGATACACAAATATATAAGGTTTGAAGAAGAATTCAAGCTTGGAATTGATACAAAGACATGGGCCATGTAGTGAACTAAAGCATGGGAAAGCAAATCCTAAAACTATTCCAACACACTTTGATATCCTAAGTGAAGATCAAGCAAGGGTGGGTTCAATTCACTTCATGCTCTTCGAAAACTTCAGCCATGGAAACATGAAGCAATTGGATTCTGCAAATATACCCGTAAAGCTCGGCCTGCCCTTGAACACCGCTAGCTACATCGTCACCGTTGGATTTGGTAGCCCTAAAAGGGACTTGTCGCTCGTTTTTGATGTTGGAATAGAATTCAGTTGGATTCAATGCAAGCCATGCCTTGTGAAGTGTTACAATCAAAAAGAACCAATCTTTGATCCCTCTAAGTCCTCTACTTATTCTCAGATCAAGTGTGGAATTAATATCTGCAGTCAGATTCTTTCCACTGCAAGTAAATTAACTATTCCTTGTTCTTTTTTTTTTTCAACAAAAAAATCTAGCTATGCATATGCTCACATAATTTCATATAAATATGGGGTAATAATAAGACTAATTGTTTCAAAAACTAGTATGCATTTTTTTCATTTTTACCTTATTTTAATAGAGTCATAGTATTTTTTTTTTGCAAAATATATAAGTACTGATTCCAGAAAAAAAAAAATTCACCACTTTTTTAACTGTTATGCGAGTTAGGGTAAAATCATAATTTACTCAACAGCTTACTTATCATTGCCATATTTTATTATGCAAACTGTTATACTCTATTGATTAGTGGGAAATTTAATATGATATGTTTGTCATGCATATACTATATGGAAATGGATGTAAGCGTGTTGGAAGAAGTTGGGGTTAAATATTTTTTTTTAGATAGAATGATAATAGAGTTTTAAAAGATTGAATTAATCAGGTAAAAAAATATTGAATTAATAATAGATGTTTTCAGTAAAAAGTTTTGGAAATAAATTTAAAATACCAATCAAACAATTGTAAATTCAAGAGATTCAATTATAAGTAAAGCATTTAAGATTGGAAGAATTATGTTAATGTCCTACATAAAGAAATTAATTATTACAAGATCTATTAACTATTGAATTGTAGTAATGGCCACAGTTTAGTTATTAATGTATTTTATAGTAATTAATTTTCTTATATGGGACCAGTATGTAATTCTCCCTTAAAAAAATTTCCTTGAGTTTCTATTTATACTTGTTTAAATAAATATTTATAACTTATTTTTCAAAAAAAAAAAAATCAAAAACCTAATTGTCATTAATTGAATCTTTTGGGAGTTAAGTATCATTCTTCTAAAATTTTATATGCAAGTAAAAAGGGTGGTTTACATACATACATCCATATACATGTGTGTCTATCTAAGCTAGTTACTTTTTTTCTAGAAAATTAATGTCATACAACTAAATATGTTTTTTCATAAACTCAAGTATATAAAATTCCTTTGAACTTTGAGACAATTACATATAATTCTCTATATTTAAAGGTTTAAAATTAAGTTATCTAACCTTTTATTTTTTTAATCATTGATTTCCCTACTATTATTTCTTAATTATCTTACCAACAGAAGTTGTCATATCATATTAAAAAAAATACACATAGTAGCTTATATGGCATCCAATATAAGCTAATAATAACTTTATAAAAATTTTATCAATATTTTTTCTATTATTATTAACTTACATCGCATAACCTTTTGTTTTTTCCCCCCTTACTCCCTTTCCAGAATATCAAGAATGTCCTGGTTCCACACAAACATGCATTTATAAGTCTGCATACTCCGGCACTTCTTTCTCCGCCGGTTTTATGAGCAAAGAAACGCTCACCATCGGTGCCGGCAACACCTTTAAAGACTTCTTGTTTGGTTGTGGCCAAAACAACCAAGTGACTAAACTTGGCGGTGCCGCCGGCATACTTGGCCTAGGTCGCCACCCGATCTCCTTCGTCCAACAAACAGCCAATTCTTATAATAAAGTCTTCTCCTATTGTCTCCCTCCTTCCACTAGCTCCGTAGGCCACCTCACCTTTGGCAGTGCCGGAGTTTCCAAGAATGTCCGATACACTCCAATCACCACCATCCCCAACCTCCCTACACTCCACGGTATAAGCATCACCGGAATGATAGTTGGTGGAATACCATTGTCATCAGTTACTCCTAAATTGTCATCATCCAGAGCAGTCATCGACGTCAACGCGTTGATCACGAGGCTTCCGCCATCAGTTTATGCCGTCCTGAGATCGCAGTTTCGGCGAATGATGTCGATGTATCCGATGGCAAGCCCGTTCGTGGTACTTGACACGTGTTATGATGTGAGCAGGCATCAGAAGATAGCGATTCCAAAGATAAGCTTGGTACTTGGTGGTGGGGTTAAGATAGACTTGGATGCGAGTGGGGTTGTTCTTGGTTCGGGTCCCAAACAGTTGTGTTTGGCCTTTGCCGCAAATGCGAGAGAAGATGATATTGTTATTTTGGGAAGTGTACAGCAGAAGACGATCGAGGTGGTGTATGATCTTAATGCAGGAAAGCTTGGATTTGGGCCTCCTGGTAGCTGCTAGTGAGACAAGTCATATAATAAGACAAAACTATTTGAAATGATGGGGAACCAAATCCTAAATTAAATATTTACAATATTTCAACTAATGTTTTACTAAATTTGCTTGGCTTGAAAAATGTGACAAGGTTAAGGAATAATATAATTGGTCTTCTTCGCAACTAGTTCTCCTTGGATCAGCTAGCCGGATGATCTCTTCGCTGTTGTTGCTGTTGATGTTATCCTCATCTTGGTTTTGTTTTATTGTTGCTAGTTTCTTCCGTGTTGTTTTTAGTTTGATGGTGCCCTTAAGAAGATAATTCAACTATTAACCTTTTGTTTGTTGCAATCATTTTCATTTGTTTAATAAAATTTGTCTTCTATTAAAAAACCAGGTTTGATTTTGATTTGATATATGAGATTATATATTGACATGAAAGATTTTTTTTGGGTATAAGAGGCTTTTTTTTAAAAAAAATTGTTAATAAAGTAAATAATTCATTCAAAAATCACAACTAAAAATTAATCTATATATAAAAGTTATTTCTACAAATATATAATGATTTTTAATCACTATATATTCTGACACTAGATAACTCAAAAGCAACGATATAGCAATTTTTAACTGCTATATATATAGTTGAGATTTATATGGCAATTATTTGGGAAAAACTGTTATATAAATTATTCTAATTTCGGGTACAGTGAAACATTTAGTCAATTATATAATGGTCTCATGAAAATAACCATTATAAAGTTGGTAAATATATAACAATTATTTCATAGAAACATATTATATAGTTAGGCCCAATTTTAGTTATTTTTTAAAAGTTTGTTCAGCAAACTATATAACAATTATTTAAAAATAACCGCTAGATAGTTATATTTATATAACGGTTATATCATATAACTACGGACGAATACAGAAACAAATACGTGGGGAGAGAATTAAAATTTTTTTGAAATATGCAGGGCTAACACTAATTTTTACATTTTTTTAAGAAAAATAAAAATTCTAAAGGACCAATGAAATTATTGGGGGAAGGTGGGGAGCTACCCCATTGTTCCCTAGCTACATACTTCACTGCATATAACTGCCTTACAGTTGGGACTATATCACTGTTTTTTTTTTTTAATTAATCGTTTTAGATATAGACCTAAAGAATATATAACAATTATTTAGTATAACTGCTATATAGTCTCTCAATACCAATTCAACATCTACTATATAATGGTTTTTAAAATAACCATTAAATAGAGGGCGATATATATAATTTTTTTAACATTTTCTTTTTGTGATAAAACCAAACTTAGATAATATTCTTAATTACTTTTAAATGAATCTTTACCGGGATTTTATAAAACTGTCTGAAAAATCCATGTTTAACAGTACCAAATCACCACTAGTGCTAAGACCTATATATTAATTTGGCACCTCTAGCCCAAGAAATTAAGTTAAGATTGCAAGAATAAATGAAATTCCATGATTTCGCAGCACCATATTCTTACATCACCTACATATCACTTGTGAGTTTTATATGCTTTCTTTTTCTTTTCTTTGTTTTTTTATAAAAGGAGAGAGTGACAAAACCCAATGTTAACTAATACAGCAATTGGGAGTCAATTAAGTCCCAAAACTACAATAAACATAAGGTCCCTCTTGTGTTAGGGAACATTGATGAAAGAGAAAACATAACTATTAGTCTCTATAGTTTTAATGTGTTTTCATATAGGTTCTTGCAATTTTGTTCACTGTTTGAGATCCCTCTAATTTATCCCATTTGAAATGATAGTCCCTCTATTTTTGAATATATTCAAAAAATAATAATGAGGTGACACCAACAATGGTAAATACACTAACATGTAACTAATGCCGTTAATTTGAGCTGAGGTGGAATTATGTTGACGTGGGACCTATATATACCATCAAAATACTTTAAAATTATAGGGATGAATAGTTATATTTTCCCTTAATGAAATCATGATCATTAGAACATTTCATAACCTAGGGTAGAGCGAGTGAATGCATGAAGATAAGAACATGTATGTGGTGTCTCTAAAGAGACCACCAGATCCAGAAGCATGATTACTCGCAAAGCCATCCGTATTGAGTTGGCAAGAGGAAGAAAGGATTATACTGTCTCTTCAAGGAGGGAGTTTGGGATGCATTACGCTACCAAATATATTTTTTACTATACTAATTTATGTCACTTTTTAAAAAAAGTGAGGTAAAAAATAGGATTTGGTAAATAAACATAACAGATATTTTTTTAATTTGTTTATTTACAATCCTTGTCATTTTCTTCGTAAAAGTTGGTAAATATTTATAGGTTTTTCTTTATGGGAATTTTTAGCAGAGCTTAAAATATTTTAGGGTTTTATTCAAAAAAATATTTTTGGGTTAATTTAATGACACGAAGAACAAACTCGCCTTTTGCGCTGTTGGAAACTCAACATTTCAATCTCAACTTATCTCAAGTGATAAATAGTGCATTGTTTTTATCGTGAAATTTGATTTTGGCTAATTTTTTTTTTTACTTGGTAGTCTTTGGAATCAAAATTGTAATGATGCAAAAAGTATATATTATTTATGGATACTCTGAGAGTGACGTACTCTTGATTAATAAAAACGATCTAAAACAACATAACAAAAGCAAGCCTAAATTAAATTAATAAATGATTTTGTATCTTTTTAAAAGCATTTATATTCTCCCTCTCGTTTGTATACTTGTCTTTTCACTTTCTTAAATTATTATTAGTGAAATATTACATGAGCATATGTAATAAACTAATAATCTATATCGTGTTTTGAACACGGGGTCCTGGCCACAAAAAAAAAGAAAAAAAAAAAGGTAAAAATAGAACACGGTCTCAGATTCTATGTAAGTTTTTATTTTAAATTTTTCTTTTTAGTCTATGACTCTTTATTAATGAAGAAAGACACAACGGAAGGTTATAACAGATCCCAATTAGTCAATTACTTCAATATATACATAAGCTTTACATAATTTTCTTAATTGCAAATTCATGTTTTGAGGTTCTTAATAAGTGTAAGAGTAACATTTAACTGAAAATGATGATATGTTTGACAAGTTTTTCCTATACAAAATAAGCAAATTTTATTTGCAAATAAATTCTCATTTTGATGGATACAAATCATTTAATGAGAGTAGTAGATTTTTTTAGACCAATTTACTAATGTTATATTTGGATATACATGAATTTGGATTTAGATTTGAATTTGAGTCAAATTGATTATTTGGGTAATAAAAAATGTATAGATTTGAATTTGGCCCAAATCCAAATCCAAAACTTACCTCAATCTCTTTGTAATTTAAAATCCTTTCTAAATTCCTATTATTTTAAATTTCTATTTAAGTCTTTCTTCCTTTGCATTCATTCATCGGACTTCATTGCCTTCTTGACTTTAACTTTATAGCCTCTAGCCAACTTTTACTAAGATTGGAGTGCTAGCATCAATCGGGATCGGATTGCCAGAGCTGATTGAGACATGATGACCGACTTCAACAAGGACCAAATTGCTAGTTTGAACCAAGATAGAATGGCAAATTTCAGCCGAGACAGGACCATGGACGCTACCTGTTATTGAACAACTGACTTCTCAATTGGCGTTTATGGTTCAATCTTGGTCGAAGTCAGCTATTGACAATGCTAATTGCACACCTATTAAAATAATGCTAGTTTTAACCTTAATGTAGTAGATGGTCAACCCTAGATCATCTCCCTAGTGAATGTCTTAAAATTCAAAAGTGAGGTTACCAAGTGAACAAATTACCTAAATATTTGAGGGTTTGAACTACACTAAGCTATCTAGAAAACTAATGCAAAGGAGATTCCTAAGGATTTAATATTAGAGATCTCATTGCCTACTAAGTGATTAACTAAGGTTCCCTTCCTCACTTTATTAGGTTCCACCTAGATTCAATTAAACCTAGTTGGATTAGCTAGTTAACCAAACTCAATTCCCTAGATTAAGGTAAATAAAGCAAGCCAACCACCTATATTAGGTATCTTAGTGTGTATTCTCTCAATATAGCCATGGCCAAGCAAGAAAGAAGCATGGAATCATCACAAGATTATGCAATAACCCAAATCAAATCAATGAACAAAAAAAAACACAAGATTATGCAAAGGCTAATTCAAGACAAATCATATCACATTAACTCAAGATTATGTAGCAACATGATACGGACAATTCATGCTTTGAACATGGTGAATGAGAAGAGTCTACAAAAATTCCTTCATTACAAAAGATGATGATATCAAATTAGAGTTCATGAACCGTAATCAAATTGTAGAAGTAAAATGAAGAGAATCTAGGGTTATAATATCCTTAGCCAATTGAAAAAGGTGTGAACTCCATCTCTTCCATCTCCTTCATAGGAATCCTCCATGATCTCTAACACTCCATCACCATAGTTGAACTCTTCATGTTCTTCCACATTTGGCCAAACACTTGAGACCTTTCCATGGTTAATTTAAGCCTTCAATCCTTGATTAATAGTTTGGATGAGATTGAGAAGAGGAGAAGAATGAAAGTGGTTTTACGTAATTTGGATGAGAAATGAGAGAGATATGAGTGATAGATTGGATGGAAAAATTGAAGAACAAGTGAGAAAGTGAGAGTAAATGTTTGAATGTAGAAAAATGAGTGAGATATCTGAATTGGAAGTGTGGAGTATGCAATTGGCTACGAGAAAATGAGAGAAAAGTGATGGAAACTTTTAAATTGGTTGTGATCTTTAACTACTTGCACATATGGCCAAACTACTTGTGAATTTGGAGGGAAATTGGTGATAATTATAATGTAGATTTGATCCAATGCAATGCACCATTCCAAGCCTAATTTGGACCTCTCCAAATATGATTATGTCATGCCAATAATACCCTTTGGAAGCTCTCTTCAATTTCCTTCAATAATGTCTTCATTTGTCACATTAATTCACTTAAGTCACCATTTAATTAAATAATCAAATAACTATAGTATGACATTTATTTAATTAG